TTCTGATTCTGGATTAAATCCTTAAGGTGATCTCAAATGCCTCAAATGATTCCAAATACCATTTTCTATGCAATCTGAAATAAGCCAATGCAATTCTGAATAAGATAACATGAGGATACATTTTGTGACAAGTCAGCACAGATCTGCTTATTGTCTTTTCTAAAAGCCTTCACATTAAGGCATAAATTTCAATGGAAAAACCAATGTGATGATCTATGAATTCACTGTTCAATGCAACTTTAGGAATGCAAAGTTGTTTCTCCTTCCTAAGGGGTCCTCTATTCTGTAAACTTATTTGATTCACTAAAGTTGAAGTGATGTTTAATATGGTTTGGGAATTCACATAACAAAGAGCTATTTTAAAGGTATTCACCAAAGCATTTTGATCATCTGCTTTCATAGTTTCAACTATTACCTCAATCACTGGATGCCTTTAAGTAAAGGTCAGAGGGATGACCTCTTATTGGGGATATTGTAGATGGGAGTAGATGACCTCTTTGTTTTCTTCCAAGTCAGATTCTGTGGCTCAATGTCAATATCAAACATGGCCATCTTTAGGGGCCCAGCTCAAGTTCTACCTCCTCAATGAAGCCTTCTCTGATAATGTCAATGCAGATGGGTCAAATCCATGGCCCACAAAACTCCCAAGTGTAGCCCACACCAGATTCAAATGCAACTGGGACATATTTAACGAAATAAAAATAAAATAAAATATGCAGCCTGCATTGTCCTGCAACACTGCTCTAAGGTATAGCTCAAGCTTTAGGATTCTGTACTTATCAAATTTATAAGAAGTTCTCATTTCCCCACTATCTTATGCAGAGGTTCCCAAATGTATTTGGCCTGCTTTCCACTTAAAAAGAAAATTAGTCTATGCCCTCCTGGAAATCTACTTTCTTTAACCCTTTAACTTTTTTTTTTTTAATTTGTGTCATTTCTAAAAAAGGCTAAATTTTTTTTAAATGAAGCATCTTAAATTTAATAATTTATTGTAAATTTGTGTTCTTTTTTCTGCATTGAAATTTTGATGATACAATATTGCATCATGTAACCGTATAATGCTGTGTTATAAACAAGTCATTACACACACATATTCCTGCCAACGCATGCTGGACTTTCCGACAATGCACAACACACTCGCCTACCAACACTTGCTTGTTAAGACCTGTTGGCAGACCTCACCGCTGATCAGTTATAACCTGCATTTTGTGTGTTTATTTGGAAAATAATGTAATCACTATGACTTTAACTGTTACACAACAGATGAAACATTTACAAATGGTTTTTCAAAATTTTCTTATCTTCTCTTCTTTCCTTATGCTTCCACTGCCCCCTTCTTTTTATTCAATGCTTCCTAATTGCACTCGAGGATATTACTGCTCCCATGGATCATTCTAGCACTCCCCCAGGGGGGTGGTATCACCCACTTTGGGAACTTATGTACAGTAGCACCTAGTTAACCACTTAATTTTTCTCCATTAATTTCATGTGTTACTTTTGCCTCTCCAGCACCTAGAATACAAGCAGAGGGCATGGATGTTATTCTTCTTACATAGCTTACATAGTGCCTATCAAAAGCACTGGCTACTGGCACATAGTAGTTAATCCATAATAGGGACTGACTAAATGTATTTTTGAATCAAGCACAAGCAGTTTTCCATTATGTGCCAAGTATAATGCCAGTTGCTGGGGATACAAATACAAAAATAAGAGCCCTTAGCTTTAAATTTATATCCTAATGGGGGATATTATGCACAGACAGGGAACTAGGGTATAGGAAAGAGTTTAAAGATAGGGCAAATGGTGATAAATGGTCAAAGGATATGAACAGGCAATTCTCAGATGAAGAAATTAAAGCCATCTATAGTCATATGAAAAAATGCTCTAGGTCACTATTGATTAGAAAAATGCAAATCAAAACAACTCTGAGGTATCACACCACACCTATCAGACTGGCCAACACGACAAAACAAGTAAATGATAAATGTTGGAGAAGATGTGGGAAAATTAGAACACTAATACATTGTTGGTAGAGTTGTGAAATGATTCAACCATTTTGGGGAGTAATTGGGAAATATGCCCAAAGAGCTATAAAATTGTGTATACCCTTTGACCCAGCAATAGCACTTCTAGGGCTATATCCCAGAGAGATCATACAAATGGGAAAGGGACCCACACGTACAAAAATATTTAAGCAGCTCTTTTTGTGGTGGCAAAGAATTGGAAATTGAGAGCATGCCCATCAATTGGGGAATAGCTAAACAAGTTGTGGTATATGAATGTAATGGAATACTATTGTGCCATAAGAAATGATGAGCAGGTGGACTTCAGAAAAACCTGGAAAGACTTGTATGTACTGATGCTAAGTGAAGTGAGCAGAACCAGGAGAATGTTGTACACAATAACAGCAATATTGTGCAATGACAAAGTTAGATAGACTTAGCCCTTCTCAGCAATGCAAGGATCTAAGACATCTCTAAAAGTCTCATCATGGAAAATGCTATCCATATCCAAAGAAAGAACTATGGAGTTTGAATGCAGACTGAAGCATACTATTTGCCATTTTTTTTTCTTCTAAAGGTTTTATTTTGTTTCCTCTTTCTTGTGGTTCCTCCTATTGGTTCTAATTCTTTCTTACAACATCACTAATGTGAAAATACATTTAATAGGAATGTATATGTAAAGCCTATATCAGATTGAGTGCTGTCTTGGGGAGGAAGAGAAAAATTTTAAACTCAAAAGCTTATGGAAGTGATTGCTGATAAATCAAAATAAATTAATAAAAAAAGATAGGGAAATTGGAAGTTTAAAGATAGAGAAATACAGAGACTGTGAGCAGAACCACAGGACAGTCAACTGTCACCCTTTATAGCAGCATTGATTTAACTACTGTTTCTAGAATAAGCACAAGAAGTAGTAAATCAGAGAAAAATGACAGAAAGGCAGATGGCAAGATTGAGGAGGTCCTGGTTTCCTGTGGGAGAGTTGGATGAGATGTGAAGCATAAACATGAGTCCAGATAGATACAGTGGGCAAGGGAGTTTTCATTTACTCACTCACCAACTGGACAACGCAGCTGAGTACATGAACATTAGGGAGCATGGGGACTTCCACTTGGTCTGTGGAAGTCTGGGTCTGGAGGGTTTCTGTTCCTAATGTGGGAGGGGGATAGCAGCTGGGCAGATGGCAAGATGCCAGCACAGGATAGACCACTCTGGTGGATGGCTAGGAGGAATGTGGGAGGATGTGGAGCATGGTCTGAAATCAATTTAGCTTGTTTCGCACTAAATACTTTAGAAATAAAGAAAGTGCAAAAAAGAGGGTCAAGGGAAGAAGTGAAACAAAACAGCTAGCTGTAAATATTAAACACAAGGATCTTGCTGGCAATACCTGAAGGAACTGATTTTAATGGTCACGACAATATGCAAGACTGATATCTCTCAGTATTAAAAAACATTAGTCATCCAAATAACTTATATGCTAATGATAAAAACAAATGAGGATATGTATTGCTTAAGAGCCCAAGGAATGAGCAAACTGTTTTTAGTTTATACATGGGGCTTCATTACTGCTGCTACTTCTCTCTAATGTGCAAAAATAAGCATATAACATTCTAAGAAACAATTAAGATTTTCTGACTGAGTTTTCTATCTCCTCTTAATTCATGCCTTGGACAGTTCATCTGTAACATTCTCATGAACAAAAGCACTCTTCATGCCATGGAATAAAGTGAGGTTCTGTATTTTTAGTTTCCTCTCAATACTTTCAGGAACATATCTACATTACTAAAATGGAGTAGGCATATCTAATATAGTTTTTTTTTTAAATCATAGATCTCAAAGCAGTGTGAGAATTAAGTTGATGAACATTTGATTCAAACCCTCACATAAAAAGTTCCACTTGTAAAATTTAAAGGGGATTAAAGATTCAAAAAGTGGTATAATTTGTAATTAAAGCAGATGGACACATTTTTTGTGATCATCATCATTAAACTAAACAAACCATTAAGATGAGATACCATTTAGTATGAAAAATCTAAAGTGTTGACACTTATGTTTTAGCAAATAACTGCCTAGAAACCTGAATATCTGATTAAAGTCCATTCCTTAAATGTTATTAACTTTTCGGTTTAAGATTTCTCTGAAGGTAATGTTGAATTTTGTGGTGAATTATCAGACATTTGAGGACTAGTCTCACTTAGCTCAGTAAGATTCATCATCAGAAGGTTGGCCACAAGATGATGCATTTATATTCTGATATAATAATGGATAAAAAACAATTTTCTATGATAGAAAGAAATTACAATCCACATACCACAATGCTGAAAAAAATCTTTTTATGTACTTTAAGTAGTGGAAAAAGTATTAGATTTGGAGTCAAAGGATCTAAGTTCAAAACCTGTATTTGCTATCTGTTTGACTATGGACAAGTCATTTAACTGTTTGGGCCTTAGTTTCCTCAATTGTAAAATAAGACTTGGACTAAATGATTTCTAACTTTAAATTCTATAAATTCTATAAAACTCTGCAAATGTGAGATAAAAAGTCATCAGAAAGTCAATTTTAACACAGATCCTGGTGAAGAACCACTTTTTCCTCCACACTGGCAGCCCACCAAGTCCAGGAATCACTCACCTAAATATCCTGGGCAAATGATTCTATAACAGGAAAGACTAAGCAATACAGACTATCTGGAAAGACTAAGGACCCCAACCAACTTGAGAATTTAGAATTTAAACACCTTAAAATTTATAACATTTTAAAATTTTAGGATCTAAATAAAAGAAAACCTACAAAAAAGAAAACATATATGATACTTGGTGACCAAATAATAACTAAATATGCATTTATAAACGAAGGATTATGTTCAAAATTCACAAATGCTGTATCTTCAACAGGGTATGTTAAGGTAACCACAAGAATGGTAAGGGCAAATGATGTGGGGTGGAGGGAGAGAGAGAAAAAACCATTTAAGGGAAAAACATTTCCATTTTTATTTACCTTGGTGAGTCATAGTGACTGTCTCTTCATTAGATTTATTGTTATAGATGACTACAGCAACAGCATTGTGGAAAGCTGCCCGTGATATTTTCTCTTTAAATGTACAATTTCCTCTCTGCAGCAAAGCAATCCATTGTTTGATGTCAGGTGGGACATGGAACCGTGTTTGGGGATCACAGCCCAGATGATCTGCAACTTAAAAAAAAAGATATTTCAAAGATTTGGTCAATTTTTTGTTTTTTAAACAAAATGAAATAAGTCATTTTTTGGCCAAAGTGACTACCCAGTACACAATTTCTGAAAAGCTTCTGGGCATTATATACACAAATAGGTGAATAGGTTTCTTGCTTTTAAAACATTCTTAGACTTTTATGTAATACTCAACGACCCCATATGCTACCAGGATAGTGAATCTGTGCTTGAGGAATCTTCACTGACATTTTTAACTCCTTCAAGTGATGATGCAAGGCCACACTGAAAAACACACACACACACAAACACACACTCTATATTAAAATGTTTCATGTACACAGATATCACCATGCAGTTCACTTGTACTGGGAAATACTGTTTTCTTAAGTAGTAAAATATATTTTTTTTGAAAAGTTAGAACAAGTACATGATTAATTAAATTTATGAATTTTTACTATGTAATATATTTGTAACACTTAAAAATAATCATTTCTTTCTCTAAAATTTTCTCATATTTACCACTGGAAGAGGAGGAAGAATCTTTTATTGACATCAATAAATAACAAACATAACGAAGTTCAGGCTCTTTCAAATTCTTTGCATGGTATGATGTGGTCAAAATTATCCAAGGTAGTACATAAGACAGTTTTATGTAAAACATTATCTTTACAGTGAAAGATCATGCAATGAAAAATGAATTATTCAGCATTGCCTACAGTTTAGAATTCATCTTTCTAAATGAAAGGTCTTGATACATAACCAAAACCAAAGAAAGCCTCTTTATAATCCTCTGCCTGCCAAGCAAACTGAAGGTTTTTCCTCCAGAAATCCAATCTTAGTCAAACTGAAGAAAAATAGAAGACTACATTAAGATTATATTAGTTGACCTGTTACAGTCAAGGTAGTTTTTAAAAATGTGATCATTTTAAAACCGACTACACTAAATCTTGGAGGAGAAAACCTGAAACAGATTGTTTTGCTTTGGGGAAATGTGTGTGTTTCCTACTATAATCTCATGTGTTCTTTTTATTATGTGACCATTTTTGAGTAATATTATCTTAGCATTATGATCTTAATTTCAGCATGTCCTAAGAGGGAAGAAACGAAGAACTGATTTCTATGATTGTAATTGGACTTTTAAAAATTAAGTTTGGATAGATTCTTGATTTCATTGGTATAAAACACAGATGTAGATCCCAACCCTCTCCATGTCTTCTCATACTGTTATTCTCATCTATGACTTTCCATAAACAGCCCACAGAGGGCCCACCCAAAGTCCTTGGGATCATCTTTTCACAAAGTATTTTAATAATGGGATATCAGATTGTCTATCTACTGTCTTTCATCACTACACAACCAGTCTGCCTCTTTTTCCTATTCAAAAACATCCTTGAGATGTCTTAAATAGCACTGTGATTCAAACAAAGAGTTATTAAATGCCTACTATGGGTAGGGTGATGGGGATGCAAACATCATCTTAGAGCATAGTCTCTGCCTTTAAGGAACTTACAATCTAACTGGAAGAAGGGAGGAAAAAGCAATATAGCAGAGGGGACAGAACACTGAACTTGGAGTCATAAATAAATGAGTTCAAAACCTTCATGAGTTTATTATCTGTGAGCACAAGCAAATAAGTTACAATCTTTCAACTTTAATTTCTTCCTTTGTGCAATGGGAATAATACCTTTAGCATTTACTTTGCAGAGTTGTAGCGAGACTCAAATGTCAAGTGCTTTGTAAGTGTTAAAACACTATACAATTGCCAGTTATATTTACATATACTAGGAAACTGGCCACTTGGTGATGAATTCTTTGCCCATGGGATTCCAAGAAAAAACTCAATTATTATTATTATTACAGAAACAAGTACTTAATGAAGTGAAGTGTTACAAGATAAGAGGAAAAGGCTACACAAAATGATATGAGAAATATGAGGGATAGACCATATTTTCAAGAGAGTCTGACCAGATAATATGCTATGGAAGACATAGTAGCTGAAGAAAGGGGTGTTGAAATTGTATCTTGTTCTGGTTTCCCTGACTACCATTCCCAACCTCTAGTTAGTACAAGTGAGTCTATAAGTAGCTGGTATGAGGTAACAATAGTAGGAAAAAGAATACAAAAAAGAACACAGAAGTCACTTACAAACTATCTCATAAATTAAGAGCCTAGAAGCCATTTTCAACTGCCTCATAAATTAGCTAAGGCCACATCCTGAGACTATGCACTAAAATAGGGGAAGCCAGCCAGGCCCCAAAGTAACGGCCTCTTAGTTCCACTAATTGCCCTCAGTCTGTAAGTTGCAGATAAGCTCCAGACATGTGCAGTAAAACCAGCAAAATCCTATGTAAATAAGGGAACCCTAAGGTAGTGTTGATAACTTTAAGATGATGTAGCTATATTAATAAACTAAGCTTCAGATAGCATGAATAAGAGTTAGTCCCTCCCTTATCAAAATCCTTAAAACTGGTACCTCAAAATCATGTCCCTATTCCCACAGCACTCTTCCATCTGCTACCAGTCCGTGCTGCCCAAGTGCTCTCAGCTCTGATCTGTGGTTACCTAAGTGACTGTGCCCCTTTCCCTCCTGCTCTCTTCTCCCCTATGCCTCCACCTCCCACCCCATGCCTTTGGCCTCTGTGTTCTCTATGCCTTATTAAAGTGTTATTGATGAATTACTCCTCTGCTTGCTACCACCATAGTCTCCCAAGTTTACCCAAATCCAATGAGACCCCTTTGCTGTTCCCTTCCTATGGCTCATAAACTGGGAGGCTCTAGGCTAAAACTATTTGTTCTTAGCCACCTCTATCGTGGACAAGCATGGCACTGTGAATCCACTGTTACAAAATAAGAATGGACAGAAAATCTCATGCCCCACTCCCTCAGAAAGGATCCCCTCATTGTTGGATTGTAGTAAGCCAGTCATTCAAAAGGAAAGAATTCCAACAGGTAGAAATGTAGAGGGAATGTTTCAGGTAATGAGGAATCAGGTGACCTGTGCAAAGATTAGTGAAGTGCTAGATTAGATTAGGGAACAATTATCTGTCAGGTTTGGCTAGGACATATATGTGAAGAAAAGCACCATGAAATGTGACTGGAAAGGTAGTTGGAACAGGACTACGGACAGCTTTAAGTATGAGGATACAAAATTCGTATTTTTATCCTTTAGATCAATTGGTGACTCTCAAAGTAGGGGCTGAAGACCCTGGAAGTCTGTAAGACCTTTATAGGGAGTTTGTGAGGCAAAAATTACTTTCATAATAATACTAGGACATTTTAATATCTAACATAGTAAATATCAATAGATTTAAGCCATATAAACAAAAGCTCTTTGGGGAGCCCTCAATAATTTTTAGGAGTGTAAAGCATTCCTGAAATCAAAAAGTCTGAGAATTGTTGATGTAAATAACAGACATCAATGTCTGTTTGACACAGTAAGACCTAAATATTAAGACAGATTAGAAAAGGTAGAATGTAACGGCAAGATGAGCTTCTATGAAATAGTCTAGATGAGAGGCAGGGAGTCAAGTCAACAAGCATTTATTAAATATATACTATTTGCCCAGCACTGTGTTAGCCACTGGGGATATAAAGAAAGGCCAAAAATTCCCAAAAAACCAAAACCAAAACCAAAACCAAAACCAAACCAGTCTCTGCCTTCAAGGAGCTTGGCAAAAGAGCTCTTTCTCCTCTACAAGAAGAGTTAACAACAATGTATGAACAAAATATATACTGGAAAAACATGAAATAATCAATAAAGGGAAGGAGCTAGAGAGAACTAGAGAGGCTTTCTGTAGAAGGTGAGATTTTTAGCTGGGATTTACAGGAAGCCAGGAGACTAGGATGAAGAGGGAAAGCATACTAGGTATGAAGGACAGCTAGTGAAAATGCACTCAAGAGATGGAAGGTCTTATTCAAGTGAAAGAAAGGAGGCTAACATTACTGGATTAAAGACTATGCATGCGTGCGTGCGTGTGTGCGTGTGTGTGTGTGTGTGTGTGTGTGTGTGTGTGTGTGTGTGATGGTAGTAGTTTAAGGTATAAGAAGCCTGGAATGGCAAGGGGCCGTAATTAAAAGCTCTGAATGCTAAATAGAGAATTTTATATTTGATCCTGGAAGCAATGGGGATATATGGGACTTTACTGAATAAGGAGATGAAATGGTTAGATCTGTGCTTTAGGAAGATCAATTTGACAGCTGAGTGAAGGATGGTTGTACTGTAATGGGGAGAGACTTGAGGTAGGAAGACTAATCAGAAGGCTACTGTTATAGTCCAGGAATGATGGAATGAGTCTACACCAGAGAGGTAGCAGTGTCAAAGGAGAGAAGGTGGCATATATAAGAGGTGTTACCAAGGTAGAATTGATCGGACTTGGCAACCAATTGGTTATGGGAGGTAAGAGAGGATGAGGAGTCAAGGATGATCCTGAGCTCGAGAGCCTTTGTGACTGGGAGGATAGCCTTGACAGTGACAGTACAGTTAGAAAAAAGGAAGGGTTTCAGGTAAAAGATAATGAGTTCAGTTTGGCACATGTTGCATTTGAGATGTCTAATATGTAGTCGCAGATGTGTGCTTGGAGGAGATTAGGCCTGGACAAACAGATCTGAGAGTCATCTATATAAAGATACGAGAATCCATGAAGGCTGATGAGATCATCAAGCGAAATAGTGTATAAAGAGAGAAGAGGACACCCAGGACAGTGCTCTGGATAGCACCATGGTTAACAAGTGAAACCTGGATGAAGATCCAGCAAAGAAAACTGGGAATGAGCAGTCAGAGAGGGAGCAGGAGAAGCAGGAGAGAACAGTGTCATAAAAATCTAGAGAAAACAGAGTTATCAAGGAGAAGACAGTGATTGATGAATAGTGTCATTGGTTGTAGGGAAGTCAGAAAACATGAAGACTGAGAAAAGACCACTAAATTTGACAATTAAGTAATCACTGGTAACTCTGAGAGAGAGCAGTTTCAATTGAATAATGAGGCTGTAAGCCAGATTGCTTAA